TTCTGCCAAAGTGACTGAAGTAATGGCAAAATGATTCCATCATCCCATTAATGCACATTTTAAGTTAATGACTGAGATTGCAAATATGAGAATAGACTTTCAAACAGAGGACTAGTGTCAGCCACCTCTTCTGATTCTTATAGTCAAAAAGTGAAAATGTCGCATTGATTTGATGCAAGGTTAATTGAATATTTAGTTGCATAGTACATTTTGCCTGCACAATATGAATAGCTTCCAAATGATGCTAGACAATGGGGATTCATCTGAGAGATTCCATACATTGCAGGTTAATACCAAAGCATTTTTCAAATCGAAAATGATTTCCATTCCCAAATAGGGCTATAACATATTATTGTTTCCACCATGAAACAAGAAACAATTTTGATGATATTTGATGGTTTTATATTGCTAATTCATATGTTAGGAACCAGCTTGGGAGTGTTGACTCTAAAAAGTGCCGTGCAAGTGTTTAAAATGAATAAAATAAATTATGAACTATAATAACGAATGGAATATCCACACACACACACACACACACACACACATTTCAGGACTGAACCATATCTTCTCCTAATTTGCTTCCTTGCTTCAAAAGTACCAATTGTAGCAACACATGGTTTTCATGTATGTTCACAACTCCTTGTAGCCACTGTTATTCCCCTTTGCTGTTCTGTTTTATACCTCCTAGAGTTTGCTTAGCCAATCAGGAATTAGACAGTAAGGTTTGGCTGTGTGCTGATATCACTGAGGGATACTGAAGTCCATTTAGAGTGAGCTTAATGCTTCCTAAAATTGATACACTGATGTTCCTAGCCAATTGGTGATCAATTTAACTATCAAACACTTTGTAAATATACCACAATGAATTTTTTCCTGTCAAAATCGTGGATATTTCAGCCCTGTTGACAACAATAATGCTTTGCTTCTGTATTACTCCTGAAGCTACTGGTTCTTCCATGTAGAGAAAGATATGGCTCCATTGGATGTGGGGACAATGGGTGCCATGATGGACTGGTGTTTGAATAGATATTGACAATTTCAGCAGTAATGTTTTTTATGTTTTGTTTTTGATCCATGCGTCACCATGTACCTGCACCAGGGCCAATTCTTGAATGTATTTTGGGATTTCTGTCAAATGAAAAATTGGGGTACTTGATGCTAGGGATGTGGGAGAAATTTGGTTCACATTTTAATGCAAATCTTGTTGTTGTTTAGTCGTTTAGTCGTGTCCGACTCTTCGTGACCCCATGGACCAGAGCACGCCAGGCACTCCTGTCTTCCACTGCCCCCCGCAGTTTGGTCAAACACATGCTGGTGGCTTGAGAACACTGTCCAACCACCTTGTCCTCTGTCGTCCCTTTCTCCTTGTGCCCTCCTCCTTGTGCTTCTTTTCCAGCCAGCCAAATATTGACTGACATCGAGTGCTGCCTTGGAAACATTTTAGTGGTTTTAAAATGGCCAGTGGGGCTGGGATTGTGGGGCACCTGCATAGGCCTCTGTCCTGGATGTGGGGGCACAGCCAATGCTGGAAGCTTTCTTGTCTTCCTGTTTCTGCCTCTTCACTTGCTGCGTCTGAACAAGCAAGCAGTGAAAGGAGACAGGATAAGCAGCTGTCTAGAGGGAGTGGCAAGAAAACTGACAGCGCTACAGTGGCAAGGATATTGGTGCCCTCAGGATGGGGGAGCTATTGAGAGCAGCATGCCCAAGTCCCTGTGAATCTGCAACCAGCATTATTATAGACCTAAACTGAGAGTAAGCAGTGGGGTATGTATGACCTGTGGAATCTCGAGTCATTTATGCACATTCTCCAACATCCTACCTACATTAACTGAACATTGTCCAAAATTCATATTCTCTGATAACCACATGGATGTGCATATTGATTGGTCAATGTACAGAACCTCTCGATTGAATTCACATTCTCTGGCATCATCTGGCAACTATACTCACTGGGTCGACATGTATTATTATTATTATTACTATTATGTTTAATTAAATTTTTATACTGCCCTATACCTGGGGGTCTCAGGGTAGTTCATGTATAGAATGTCTATGCATGTCCTGACATCACTTGTAGTTGTTGGCTATTGCCTGGGCGATGTCCAAAATGTATTCTGCTCATGTATGTGTGTTCATCAGTGTAACATTGTTTTCATATATGTACATGTTCTCCAGGACGATGATGGGCTGTAAGTGAATACAGTCCTTGGCCTGATTCAGAATCCCTCCGCAGGTCATCAGTTCATACTTCTGGCAAGAGTGATCTGTCGCTCCCAAGGGCAGCTGGCCCAGTAGGGCAGAACTGCTGTGACAGCCTCCCAACAGCCCAATTACTGCTGCTTACTAGGAAGAAGAGCAGACAGGTGACAGTAAGATCACAAGGAACCTCAGGAGTTGGGAGAGCATGTGCCTGTGGGCCAAGGACAAAGATAGGTGAAGAGAAAGGTGTGTGACTTTTGCCTCTCTTACAATCAGCTCCATCCCAGCCTTGCAAAGGTCACACCCTCGCACATCTCTCCTTCTTCCATCCAGGGGCCAGTGCTGAAGCACTCACCACTCTTAACGCCTCTGGGTGCTTACCAGTTTCCTACAAGCTTTTCATCCTTTCGGCCCACACTGAAGCTACTCATTGTGGCCTGGTTAGCAAAGCCAAAAGGACCTAATCAATCATATTGACACAACTTGCACTGGTTGCAAAAGGGGTGAAGAGGTACAGTGGTACCTCGGGTTAAGAACTTAATTCGTTCTGGAGATCTGTTCTTAACCTGAAACTGTTCTTAACCTGAAGCACCACTTTAGCTAATGGGGCCTCCTGCTGCTGCTGCGCCACTGGAGCACGCTTTCTGTTCTCATCCTGAAGTAAAGTAAATATTACCCAAGGTAATATTTCTGGGTTAGCAGAGTCTGTAACCTGAAGCGTATGTAACCTGAAGCGTATGTAACCTGAGGTACCACTGTACGTGGAAAGCAAATCATGCATAATAAATTGTTCTCCTCTCAGAAGTCAGGGGTTCCCCTCTCCCACCCTTCTTTCGGTGGGCAAAGATCAAAGCAAGTTTAGCAAGAGAAGGCCCTGACTATGTTTGGAGACTATGATTTGAGGTGATGATACAGTCCCATCTTGTCTATGAATTATTTCCACTCAATATGAGGTATGGATGCACTCTACATCTTTCTTCAGGCTGACAGCCTGAATTCATGGCCTTGGCAGAACTGTCAATCACTAAACAGAACTGATTGATACCCCCATTTCTCACTTTAGAGCAAATATATACCAACTGGCCTGAATTTTGTCTCACTAAATGTCAAGATCTGGTTCTTTCTTTTCTTGTCTCTCATGTTTTCGTTTGTTTCTTGCCTTCCGGCAGTCAGTACAGAGCTGGAATTCCTAAAATGTCTGCCTCTGGAAAAACTAGTTGGTTTAAGGAGTGTGTGGGCAGGGGGAAAGCAAACTTCAGAGATCATGTTTTGGCTTTCTTCTGCCTCCTGAACTGAGAAGACTAATATTTTCATGAAAGGACGTGCTTGTCTCTGGCTGTTAGACATCTGGTTGCTAGGTCAGGATTTTAACAATAATTTCTGCAAGAATTTGGAGCAGCTATACTTTGGCAACCTTAGAATAGCATGGCAGCAAAAGGGGCAGTCACGTATGTATGTGGCACACAGGTTTTGTTGATGTAAGAAAATCAATCCCATGTAGAACTAGTTTTCTCAACTGGGTCCCAACTGACTTCACACACAGGCCTGCACGGCTGAAGAAAGCCATTGCCAATGACACTTTGCTGCTGCCTGCGGCAAGTAAGATGGCCTCGGGGATTGCCAGGGTGCTGGCTGTAAAAGAAATGAAAGGCATGCAAGGTCTTGATGCAGAAGAAATATCTCATTTGATTCATTTTTGCTGTTATCCATTGCCAAGGTTTTTCTCAGATGGATTGGAATGGAGGTGAGCTGGAAAGTCCGCTCCCCTGCCCCAGGGGGCAGTGTTGCAGGAGGGCACCCGGGCCTTCCCAGTGACCCAGCGGGAGGGCAGAGGGATGCTGCCTGTGTCACTGTGACTCCCAGCTATGTCACGCCCCCCGGCTGACCAATCATCGAATTGGGGTGTGTGGCCGCTTGCCGTTCAAATCACGGCATGGCCGGGAGTCACCCTACTTTCATCTCCTTGCCAAGACCTGTGGGAGCCAGGAAGTCATGAAAAAGGCTTGTAGCGCCACCTGGTGCCTCGCTGACCTCAGTGACCTGCATGGCCGTGCCTTGCAGTGTATTAAGTGCATGACCCTATAAGGCGATGGGTGGGTTTAAGCCATGACCGGATGTAGGTAATGTGAGACATTGGCAAACGGCCATGCGAGAGGAGAGAACAAAGGATAATAAAAGTTATGGGAGGGAGAGAAGTTCGAAAGGAGCTGCTCATACCATCCTGAAAATATTGCTGGCTCTCTGTGTCTTTATTTAATGCTATACAGCACCATTTAATGACGGCTGGACTTCCGTCAAAGACCTAAATAAATCTTTTGCGGGGTTGTGGGTTGGGACGGCAATAGTTGTCTTGGTGCGACATTTCAACCTATAGCATTAAGCCTGCTATGGTAGACTGGTGTCAAATTAGTGTGCCAAAGACTTTGGCATATGTTGTTCTGTGTGTCAAGGGGAGATGAGGATTGCATTTCCCGAACAGTGGTCTCTCAAGCCATGCGGCAAACTGCTTCCAAACCTGAGGCAAAATTTCCTGCAGTTTGTGAGGTGACACTGTGTTCTTCAATTCAAAGTTGCTCTATTATTATTATTATTATTATTATTATTATTAAAAGTTTTAAAAAATCTCACTGGATCAGTAGAAGTTGTGTGGTTCCTTTGGATTCTAACCTTTGAATCCTTATGGACCCATGTCCTGATCCTGCACCCTATGTTGTTGCTGCACCAAGAATCCTGGTGGGGAGAGCTGACAAAGGTCAACACCTCCCACTGACCAGCCTCCTCAACTTTCTTATTGCACACAGTCATAGCTTAGTGGTAGAGCAGCTGCCCTGTGTGCAGAAGGTCACAGGTTCTATCCCTGACCTGGAGAGTTTCCTGCTAGATACCCTGGAAAGCCTTTACCAGTCAGCTTCAACCATCATGAGCTAGTAAGACCAATGGCCTAATTACATATAACACGTGTTCCTAGGTTGTCATGGCTTGATGTGAAAACAGTCACAAAAACACTGGCTAAGGGAAGGGCCACCATAAGAGTCTGGTTGCTTGAGTTAAGGAGCTTTCCAGAGCTTGGTCACCTCAAACAAGCATTTGGAGCTGCAGTTCCCAGCCAACTCCCATGCAAAGCTTGGGAACTTCTGAATAGAATACCAGTTGCAGAGGAGCACAAGTGGGAATAGTGCTCTTGTGCTTGTGTTTTGCTTACAGGCTTCCCATGGGCATCTGGGTGCTCACCGTGGGAACAGAATGCTGCACTGGGTGGATATGATCCTGCAGGACTTTTCCTATGCCCTTCTGACTGGGCTTTCCTTCTTGTCTCTGGAGCTTTTACAAATCCCTCTTGGAGAGATTTACTATTTAGCTTAGCTCTGTGTGAGCAGCAATTGCTATCTGGATTTAGAATAAAAAATAAATGAGATTTTAAAACCAATTTAAACATATTTTAAATAAATGTTGCAAGCCTCATTTTTCATTCCAAACTTCAGAAAAACTGTAAACAAGCAATTTTCACTTTGCAGACTTTCTGAGTGCTAGGCAAATTTGTTATTCTGAACCAGGTAATTGCAAGTTTCAGTGACATCATTGCTTTTAACTGGTGGATTTCTCTCTCTCTTAAAAGTTGAAAACATCAATTTCCCTTTCCCACATGAGTGAAATTGTGACATAAAAGAATTATGCCACACTTTGATTAAAATTTGATGGGGTTTACTGGGGTCTGCATATAACTCCTTCAGATTTGTCCCACAAGTGTCAGTCGGCCATCCTGTAGCATATTTAGAGGGGAAGTAAGACCCTTGCAAAACATGCGGAAACTCTAGAAGAGCAAGAGGGACACAGTGATACATGATACCTTTGGGCAGAGTCATTTCTCAAGAGACGGATGTTGTTGTGGGTTTAGTCATGGTATACAAGTGACATAATTGATCTGCCCGGTAGTCATCTTCTCTGGCTGTGTGATATTTTGTAGCTTGAGTTTTCTTCTTCACAGCTCTAGGTGGATGTAACATTAATGGCTGAATAATGCTTAACAGTGAAGTAAGATTCTATTCTGACTGCTCTCAGTGAAACTCTGACCAATATGAAGAATCTCTCTATTTTAAAATATTTTAACATCTACAGTTTGTTGTTTCTAAGGAATTCTCAACCAGATGGTTATCTATCTGGTCTTGCAGCACAATTCTAATTGTCCTTGAGGTACCTCGTGATTTTTAAAAATAACCCACCTCCCCTTTTTAACTGTAAATCTGTGGCATGGGGGCATGGGAGCAAGTGCTGTGCCTTTGCATTCCTCAGGCTGAAGGGGTCAACATCATATAGGACCCAACTCCATATAGTCAATTTCCAATCCAAGAAGGGCAAATAGTACATTCCTTCCAATACATTCTTTCATGTGTTGGGGTACACAGTTGCTGTGATGCCTGAAGAGAACTAGCTTATTTACCTGATACAGTATGCTCATTCACTTTTTGTTGTTGTTGCTGTTATTTTTAAAGGCTACAGTATGGACAAAAAAACAGGAACAGATTGCTAGTTACAAGACTAAAACTAACACTCTCACCACCAACAGGCAATGTGTTTTGGTATAAAACATGAACTGTAGCCAACAGATAATAATGATAAGCAAAAGTAAAGACCCACAACTTTGTAAGGAAAAGTGGAATAAAAATCCAAATAGTAGTAGCAGTAGTAATATTAATAATAGAAGTAATAATGAAAGAATAAACATCACAACTGATATGAAATATCTTTCCTCTTCAAGTCAAACCCTTTTGTAATGTCAGTATATTTGCTTCACCTAAACAAGGAAGAGTGTTTTTAAGTATGACAACATGGTACATTTAGGGTGTATAATATAATCATTTTGCATAATCTCAATTCAAAATCCAAACCAAAAGGATGTATTTTTCAACAACAAAAATCCCCTCATAAAGGAATTGTGCGTATTACTTAGTTCACATTTTTACAACTATGTCACAAACCACAAATCCTGCTTGTGCTGTTTGAACTGGAACTTGTAAAATTGCAAAAGGAGAGATGCTATTGACAGAAAAATCGAGGCCAGTGACTTATTGTCAGTTCCTAATAATGAGGCGATAAAATGGATGAGCTTGTTTGTGCAGTGAGACATAAAAAAAGTGAGCTCCGAATTTGAGGTGTTTGCGATCCTGACCTCAAGGATGCAGAAAATCAATTTATGACCTGCTGACTAAATCTAGCCATCAGCTTACTCTGGGAGGAGGCAGGTGTCATTAAGGTTTTATCTGCTGCTCTCTTGACCGCATTGGAAACCTCATTAGTTTGTCACAGGACTTTGAAGGAAAATTCCTTCGCGGAGCAGTGATGCACAGGACTCTTGAACCCTAGTCAGATGTAAGGTTTGATGTAGATCCACCTACACATATAAGAAGGCATCAGTTTCCATTCTGTCCTATTGTCCATTGCATGCAGCACTGTTTGTCTTCTGCTGCAGTTTAGCTTCTGACAAAACCTACATTATTCATCTTGCTGTTCGCTGTGATGGAACTCTGTGTAAACTCCCCTTTTAGCCACAGTTGCTTGCTTGCTCTTCCCAACCTCCATTCACAAGATTTCTGGGGGAAGGTGCTAGTACTGTGTACCATTGAGTACCACCAGAAAAAAGGCACTGGTTATCCTTAGATTCTGGTCATGGGATGAATATGCAAACAACAAGAAGGAACAGTTGGAGAGTGCTTGTACTTGGATCAAGTTTGTTAGGTACTTTGATGCTCATTGCAAATCCTTATGTGCAACAGAAATGTGACACACTCAGTTACTACTTCGTGTCTTCATTCTGATGCGCTTGTGGGGGACATACACGTTTTATTGTTATGGTGAAATGTTTGCGCTGCATACATCTCCTCACATAAATATGCCAGATGGTAAAAGTTCACGGGAGCAATTAAATATATAAGCTGTTCTGCATGTGTGTCCTTGTAGACACAGATAGAAGTTGAAGCACTTGGGAGAGAAGGTATAGGCATGCTCAGCCAAAAGCTACATTATGACGAAGGCTTTCTAGGCACTCAAAAGCAGGGAATCCTGTTCTTTCCAAGCCAAAAATTTGGATGCCTATTTTAGCCTGGCAGGATGACAAGAATGACACTATATCAATGCATGAGTGCCCCCAAGTCGTATGCCGAGAGCAAAGAAAGCAACTTTCCCCGCACTTCTCCAGTTGAAGGGTTATACAGCAAAGGAGCACAATGGAAATGATAGCATGGAAGTTCTGGAGCAGGGGTGGGGAATCTGTGGTTCTCCAGCTGCTGCTGGACTATAGCTCCCATAAGCCCTCAACCAATATAGCCAATGATCAAAGATTATGGGAGTTGTAGTGCAGGTGTAGGACACTATTGCCCCTCTCCATTCTATAACATCTTGAAGCATAAGCAGGGAGAGAAAGTTGCTATCATTTCATATTTCACTTTTGCTTCTGGTGAAGCAGCCTCTAGCTCCAGAAGCTGGTGCTGCAAAACAGTGGTTTGCCTTTAAGATTCCACAGGACTCTTCATTCTGTTTGCTGTGTCAACAATCTAAATGTCTTGACCAACATACCATTTTAACAGTGACCAGAAAAGGTTCCCTGATCTGTTCTCTGAACCTAACTTCACCCCAAATCCACAATTTGGCTTGCAAATGAACACACCAACAAGCTGGATGCTCTTTAGTCGTGGTCATTCCCTTATCCAGACATGCGCTCTGGCTTCTCCTTCCTCTTTTCTTTTCATTTTTTAAACCAGCGCCTGTTTATTATTCATCCATTTATTCAATTTTTTTTTGGTGAATTTTAAACTAAGCTGTTCATTCACAAGAGTGGACAAGGGCCTCAAAGTACTTCCTTATCACGGTCATGTGGAGCCACAGCAGTGACCAGGGCAATGGGGGTTGTGCCTTGTTGTATATACATTCTGGTTTTCTGATAGTTGCATTTTTAGTTTTTGATGGTTTCTACTTTTTAACACAGTATTCCAAGTCTTGTATTTCTTTTGCAAGCTGCCCAGATAATTTATGTCATGGGACAGCTATATGAATTCATCTAATAAATAAAACAAGACGTTATGAGCCCTATTTGGTGTAGAAAGAGCAGGAGCTTGATGTAATCCTTCTCCAGGTCTGGACTTGGAGAAGGATTATAGAAAAGAGTGGTTCTTTTCTTTGATTCAGCTTTGCACAATAATGGAAGTTGGGGGAGAACAAATTAAAGTCTTCGGAGCATACTTCCTGGCACTTGGTATGAACTTCCACACAAGTACAAATGCTTTCACGGGTTTCTTTTCTTCCTTCCTTCTTCTCTTTTGGCCTTTCTTTCCAAATGATAATGCAGGTGACTTATTTTGCAGCAGGCTTGCCAGATACACTCAGCAAAAGGAAGACTCACTTCTCAAATCTTTCTGAAAAGCCCAGTGTCACTCAAAGTATGCTTTGTGCTGCTTTCCTTTGGGCTGGGGGACTTCTTTTACCTCAATCAGTTAAAACCTGCCGGTTTTGGATGTACAGTTAAATACCTCACTGAAGCTCATTGAATGAAATCATTCTTTTGTCAAGAGCATGGATGTGATGGGATAGAACGAAGAACATAAAAAGGGTCTTAGCTGCTATTATGAAAAGGTAATGGCACCTACTCCTTTATCTACAATAGGGTGGATTTCGCCATTAAAGGGCTTATTTTTAAGAGGATGAGAAGATTCTGCAATTAGACTATATCATGGAATAAAAAAGCCAGGGATGATTAAATAAAAAATTACTTGAAAATCTTTCTTTTGTTTCCATCCATTTGCGACAGCATTTCTTTTAGATTTACAATTCAAATGTATGAAACGTTTTATTCATAAAGAAGGTATTACCAAAAATAGTG